AAATCAAGGGGCCTTTGTTGAGAGATAAGAGTTTGAGATTTATTCTTCATTAACCTGCAATTAAAAGATCAAAACAATGATTAGTGGTATATTTATTCATAAAAAATAGATAATGAGGGTATAAAATTATAATAAAATATGATTATCACCTTCTAAGAAGGGGTCACAATATGATTCTAGAACGTTATAGTAGCGCAGGATTCAAGGTGCATGTTACAACTACAACAAGATCGGTCATAGGGCGAAGAATTGTCGTAGCGTACCAGCAAGAGGCCAGCAAGGCAGAGGCCAGTAGGGCAGAGGCCAGGGCCAACAGCAGGGATGTGGACATGGACAACAGAACCATGGTCAGGGTCAGCAGTCGCAGGGCCGCGGTTATGGCCAGTAGTAGAGGATCGAGGCACCACTGACAATTCTAAGGTTTGAGGGGCCAGCAGGCCAGATACACGGCATCCAGGAGATTTCTCAGGGACAGGTAGTCCCATATGTTCCACAGCCTTCAGCACCATAGTCTTTAGTCACTGGCAGAGTTTATACAGTCGTACCACGCGACCATGGTACGAGTGGAGCCATAGTGGAAGTTACTTTCTTAGTGAACTCTTCCCAGCTCGAATCTTGTTCGATTCAGGAGCTTCGCATTCCTTCATTTCTCATACCTTCATGGATAGACTTCAGCTTGTAGGACATTCCTTAGATGTACCATTATCAGTCTCTACTCCTTTAGGTGAGGTATCCCTATTAGAGAGTATCTGTAGGAGATGTGTTATTAGTCTAGATGAGTCTGAGTTAACCATTGATTTGATTGTTTTGTGGATGTCAGATATCGACGTCATTCTCGGTATGGATTGGCTATCATCCTACCATGTCAGTATCAACTGTTTTGCTAAAATAATCAGATTATGAGCGTCCGATGGGTCTAAATTGATTGTAGCAATCTCATAGGGCAACCAGTTTGCAGAGTTATTCCTGGCGTACATCGGGAAGGTGATGCTGAGGGATAAGAGTGCCGATTTATGCGAGACTAGAGTCCTCTCAGAGTATCAGGATGTCTTTCAGGACATACATGGGTTACCTCCTATGAGAGAGATTGAGTTCTGCATCGAGTTACAGCCAGGCACAGTACCGATATCCCGAGCATCCTACCGTATGGCACCTGCTGAGGTGAGGGAGCTATAGACTCAGCTGGATGAGCTTTTGTCTCATGGTTTCATTCGCTAGAGTCACTCTCCGTGGGGAGCACCAGCTCTCTTCATGAAGAAGAAGGACGGTAGTATGCGCTTATGTGTAGATTATCGTGAGTTAAATAATGTCACTATCCAGAACAAGTATCCACAACCAAGGATTGATGACTTATTCAACGAGCTGTAGGGAGCACAGTACTTCCCAAAAATTAATCTTCGTTCTGGCTATCATCAGTTGCGAGTTCGGGAGATGTATATTCCAAAAAGCACCTTTCTGACTTGATATAGGTCTTTTGAGTTTATTGTCATGCTATTTGGGCTGACAAATACACCCACGATATTCATGGATTTGATGAACTAGGTTTTCTGTCCATATTTGAACCAGTTCATGATCGTATTCATTGATGACATCCTTATCCATTCGAGATTAGAGGTAGAGCATGAGCAGCATCTTCGATTAGCATTGCAGACTTTACGGGAGCATCAGTTGTATGCTAAGTTCAACAAGTACGAATTTTAGCTAATCTAAGGTCAGATTTTTGGGCCACGTCATCAGTAAGGAGGGCATTACAGTAGATCCAGTGAAAGTTGAGGCAATACTTGATTAGGAGCCATCGAAGACCGTTACAGAGATTCGTAGCTTCTTAGATTTGGCCGGCTATTGTAGGAAATTAATTCATGACTTCTCGATGATTGTGACGCCACTTACATACCTTACGAAGAAGTGTGTATAGTTTTTTTGGAACATAGAGTGCTAGTAAACTTTTGAGACCTTGAAGGCTAAGTTGACTACAACGTCGGTATTGATTATCCCGAGCAATGATAAGACCTTTGTCGCCTACACGGATGCATCATTATCGGGTCTAGGAGGTATTTTGATGCAGATCTAGAGAGTTGTGACTTACATTTCGAGGTAGTTGAGGATGCATGAGTAGAACTATCCCACACATGACTTGGAGCTAGCAGCATTGGTCTTCGTACTAAAGACATAGAGACACTATCTTTATGGAGTGCAGTTTGAGCTATTCATGGATCACCAGAGCCTAAAGTACATCTTTTCTTAGAAGAAACTCAACTAGAGACAGTGACGATGGGTCGAGTTTATTAAAGATTATGAGTTAGTAATTTAGTACCATCGAGGAAATGTGAACATCGTAGCGGATGTGTTGAGCAATAAGCGTCGACATCGGATTTCTTCTTTGAGGTGCTTATTGCATCAAGACCTTCACACCCTTACTAGTTTGATTTTAGGCCAGAGATTGGTGGGAACAACACATTTTTGGGAGCTTTGTCCGTGCAACCATCTTGAACTTATAGGGTGGTCAGAGCACAGCTAGAGGACTCTTGGATTCAAACCCGAAAGGATGAGATTTTCAAAGTGCCAAAATCTGATTAGACCATTAGAGCAGATGGAGAACTTAGAATGAAGGGTCGATTAGTGATACCAAGTAATCTATAGCTAAATAAAGACTTAATTGATTAGGCGCATCGTATCAGGTACACAATGCAGCCAGGCTCAAGTAAAATGTATAAAGACCTAAAGAGACAATTTTGGTGGAACGACATGCGTAGGGATATTGCGAAATATGTGGCTAAGTGTTTTACTTGCCAGTAAGTGAAGACAGAACATCAGAGACCCATAGGAACCCTACAACTTTTATCCATTCCGGAGTAGAAGTAGGCAGATATTTCTATGGATTTTATTATAGGATTGCCGAGGTCGACAAAGGGGAAAGATTCCATTTGGGTGATAGTTGATCAATTGATGAAGTCAGCACATTTCATACCAGTGAAGATGATATACACGATAGAGACTTAAGCGAGGATATTCATCCAGGAGATCGTGAGACTACATGGAGTTCTAGAGACGATTGTATCAGATCAAGACTCGGTTTTCACGTCACATTTCTGGAGGAGCATCCAGAACTCGTTCGCTAGCCAATTACAATATTCTAGTGTGTTCTACCTGCAAACGGATGGGCAGATAAAAAGAGTTAACTAAATGTTGGAAGACATGTTGCGGGCATGTATTATTAATTTCCAGGGTAGTTAGGAGGATCTCATTCCATTGATTGAGTTCGCTTATAACAATAGTTATCAAGTGACCATAGGTATGGCACCGTATGAGTGTTATACGGAAGGCCATGTAGATCACCTATTAGTTGGCAGAATCAGAGGATAGCTTATTGCTTGGACCAGAGCTTGTGAGACAGACTATAGGGAAGGTAGCACTAATTCGAGAACGTATTCTTACAGCGCAGGGTCGACAGAAGAGCTACGCAGATCAGAGGCGGCGAATGCTAGAGTTCTTGGTTGAGGACTATGTTTTATTAAAAGTATCACCGATGAAGGGAGTTTAGTGATTTGGAAGATGGGGAAAGCTTACCCCGAGGTATATTGGTCCGTTTAGGATTGTTAAGCACATTGAAGCCATTTTGTATCAGCTAGATCTTCCAGCATCGATGTCGAGCATACACAATGTTTTCCATGTTTCGATGCTCAAGAAGCATTTATGAGATGAGGAGCAGCAGCGAGTATTGGACGCACCAGAGATTGAGCTTCATAATGATTTGACCACTATTGAGATCCCAGTTCGTATTCTTGCCAAGGAGGACAAAAGACTTAGAAACATAGTGATACCTTTAGTTAAACTTCAATGGAACCGGAAAGGAACTAAGGAAGCTTCTTGGGAGCGCGAACAAGATATGCGTCGTGACCACCCGCACCTGTTTGAGCAGGTAAAATAATTGGTTATAAATTGCATGTATTTATGATTATTTTTTATAGTCATATTTATATTTAACGCTAGAATGGGGGTATTAACACATATCTCCTAATCATTCAAAACATATGGTATATACATGGGGGTTCCTTATTTGGATTTTTTGCCCAACGTACTAGTTCCGTTTAGTTAGGGGTTAAGTGAGAGTATTTGTATTCTAAATTGTTAAGTGTAAATATCGCTTATGTATCATATATGGGGATTAATGGTACGAGGTGTGTATGGAAGGGTTTCCTTATCTGGATTATTCTCTCATCATGCTTTTCTCATATTAGTAATCTCTAAGATACGATTGCAGAATTTCGAGGACGAAATTCTTTTAAGGGGGTGAATGTAAAACCCCGTGAATTTTAGAAAATAGTGTGAATTATATTGATAAATAAGCTCTAATTATGATGAATATCATTTATAGATGAATGATTATGCTAATAATTATTTTTTGATCAATTAAGAGTATATATGAGAGCATACAAAGGTTAAACATGCACAAAGAAGAAATCTAGAAAAATGACTAGTTAAGAGTATATATGCGTTACACACTAATGCAATTCGAATATGGAAAAACTCAAAAGATAAAATTTATAGGTATCTTCATTATCTTTCCAACACATCTTAAATCACATCATTCTGAGGTTGTATGTGAACATTACAACCAAAATACCAAAGACTATTTTTCTAGTCTGACTAGGTTTCCTGTTTCGGTTTTGGGCTTTTTGATTCGGGTTTGCAGTTATATATATATATATGTTTACACACAAAAAATATATCTTTTCATTAGTATTCCAAACCCTAGAAGCCTCTTTTCCTCTTTCTCAAACCCTAATCAAAATTTGTGAGATTTGGGAGTGTTCTTGAGACGTTTGTTGAGAGGAATGCGGGATTTTGTGACTTTGGTGAAGAGGGATCTTGTATACATGTGTTCAGGAGTTCAACACGACGTTTAAACTAAGCCCAATATTTTAAAATCTTAGTTTATGATGTTAATCTTTAAACCAATGTGAAAATCTATAGTTTTAGTTGTTGTTTCATATGGTTTGAAGAGTTTTGCATTCAACATTTTGGTGGGTATTTTCAAAATTTTGTAAGCTGAATGTGTAGGGCCCGCAATACACTATAGCAACACCTGTTTTTGAAGAGGTACGTAGCAAGTTTGATTATTTTTTCCACTTGGTTTTTCCACGTATTGCCTCTTTTGTTTTTTTGGTTAACCATTTATATGTACATGAGGTGTCAACTGCAGAATTTTGCAAGTGGCTTGTGTGAGGCCTACAAAACACTGTAGCAACGATTGGTTTGAAGATTTATTCAAGCAACTTTGAATAATGTTCTTTTCACAGATTGCCAATTATTTTCTTTTTGTGTTTAAAGTTTTTTTTCAGATTGCCGCTCTTTTGAACAGATGGTTTGAAGAGTTTTGCATTTAACATTTTGGTAGTTATTTTCAAAATTTTGTAAGATGAATGTGTGGGGCCCGCAAGATACTGTAGCAACGCGTTTTTGAAGAGGTATGTAGCAAGTTTGATTACTTTTTCCACTTGGTTTTTCCACATATTGCCTCTTTCACAAAAAATATATCTTTTCATTAGTATTCCAAACCCTAGAAGCCTCTTTTCCTCTTTCTCAAACCCTAATCAAAATTTGTGAGATTTGGGAGTGTTCTTGAGACGTTTGTTGAGAGGAATGCGGGATTTTGTGACTTTGGTGAAGAGGGATCTTGTATACATGTGTTCAGGAGTTCAACACGACGTTTAAACTAAGCCCAATATTTTAAAATCTTAGTTTATGATGTTAATCTTTAAACCAATGTGAAAATCTATAGTTTTAGTTGTTGTTTATATTAGGTTGATGATCATGATCATTAGGGTTGTATTTAATTTTGTTTTTAACTTGTTAATCATGTTTAAACCCTAGTTTAATAATTATTTGAGTTTTTTTGCTAATTAAAGAGGTCTTAACTCTAGGTTGATGATACCTAAGTGATGTGAGCATGTTTAAACGAACTTATATCTGTTCATTGTTTAGAGTTTATCATGTTTACTTAACCATATTTATAAATTAGGTTATTTGAGATATTTTGATTAATTAGAATGTTAAACCCTAATTAGTTTAATTCAAGTGTTTATATCATGATGAGTTAATTCCTGTTAAGTAATTATTTTTAATTAACATTATTTAATATAATATTATAGTATTATTAATAAAATATAATTATATTATTTTTATTTTTATTATGTTATTACTAGTATATAACTAACAAATTGATATATTTTAAATATTTCAACATTCTATAACATATTATAGTTTCTAATATGTTAGAGTTTATAAATAATTACTTTAATAGTATATTAATAATTTATTATAAAAGTAAATATTGTTATATTATTAATAATAATATTATTATTACATTAACATTTGCTAGCAATAAATTATTTTAGTATTAATAAATTATTTTAATGTTAAACCCTAATTAGTTTAATTCAAGTGTTTATATCATGATGAGTTAATTCCTGTTAAGTAATTATAAAAGATTTAATCTTGTTATATGCCTCATGTTGATAAAAATAAGTTTTTAAATAAAGTTATCAAATACGAAACATCAGAAACCTAAACTTGTGTTTTTAGCTCTGGCTGGTCGACCGACCAAGACAAGCCGGTCGACCGGTGAGGCCCTGAGCGTGCATATTGTGTGCACGGTTGTTTTCGGTCGACCGACGCCCTAAGGGCAGCCAACCGACCTATGTTCTCTTTGTTTTTTAGTGGTTGTTTTTTCATCATTTGATCTTAAGTGCGAGGTTCGAGCCACACGATGACACACGTACAATCATAAGCATACATGAATAGTGTTATAGCACACACACAGATATCATGGAGTATTACAGGTATTGCTTTCAACCACACTTGGGATATAGGTTATTTAAACATTATATACATGTATAGATATCGTTGATGAGCACTGCTCAGTACTACTTGGGATAGTGCGTCGATATACCATTAGTACAAGCTGTTAGACTCTAGAGGGGAGGTGATTAGGGTCTTATGCTAATCTAATCCGATTTATGCCAATTAAAACTAATCAACAAGTTATCCTAGCAAGTATAAAATACAACAAGATATGTGAGATAGGATAAGTAATATACATAAGGGTAAACAAAATAATAAACAAGATAGTGGATGATATAAATAATGAGCAATGGACAATGGCGACAAGAAATATAAACATAAGATTTATTATGTAATATATTAATTTTTATATTATATTACATTTACTATGTAATATATGCTATATAATATACTACTATCACATGATTATTCTATTGCTGTTATTATTATTAAATATGTTACCATTACATACTATTTTGTAGTTATTAATTTCTATTTGTTAAAAATTTGATAATAATACAGTGATTATAATATTGTATAGTATATTATTATATTACTATTTGTTATCAATGACTTTTTCTTTGGTTTTTATTAACTTATTTATATTTTATTATTGTTTATTATTATATTAATTTAACTATATGATCATATAATATATTATCGAGATATTAAATATTAGTATTTATATGTTATTATATTATTATATAAGATATTCTACTTATTAATATATTTTATATTATTTAATAAATATTAGTAATATATTAAATGAACTATAATATAGTATAATATAATATATTATCATTTAATATAATATAATAAGCATGTCAATGGTAACTATATATGAATTATATTTAATATATTAATTACGTTAGATATTATATTAACACCTCCTCGAACTTAAAACCAAAACAACAACCGTTTGGATACCATTGTGTTTTATGTGTTTCTATGGTGTTTTTGCCAAAAACAAAACACCATGCGTTTGAAAACCATTGTGTTTTTTGAGCTAAATTATCCTCAAACTAAAAACACAACACTTGCTTCAAAACACCTAAAAGAAATATAAACATAAGAGAAGTGCGTCAAAGCAAACTCAAACACACGATATGATCACGGAGTTCGGACTTTCCGTCCTACGTCTCCGCTCCGCACTCCCAGGGAGAAATCCACTATTACAACCGGATTTTCTACGTTCACCCGAATAACGTTTACACCTCACACTTGGTTTTCTAGCTAACCGAAAACTTTACAATCAACACTCTTGCAATCCCATTCTACAATTTCTCAAGTGTTGGACCTAGACGTGTCTCCCACAAGTGCTCGAATACAACCTCTCCCTAGGTTCGTCAATCGACGCTACTCCTCTTGGGATGATCCCGACTTACACCACATACTTCTCTCGGTATACAAGTGTATTACAAAGTGAATCTCATAATTAAGCACGAATACAATAATAGTTGTTCTCTACAATAGATGAGAACTCAATTAAGCTCACCCTCAATTGTTACAACTCCCCACAACCTAATTATACAATGTATGCAAATACAATAAGCTCAATGGTTGTGTGGTGTTTTAAGTTTGGTGTTTTGGTTTTGAGTTTGAGAATGTGTTAATATAATATCTAACATAATATATAAAATGTAATTAACATAGAGTTATTATTAACATGTTTATTATACTATACTATATTATAATTAATCTAATATATTAGTAATATTTATTAAATAATATAAAAATATAATAAAGAAATTATCTTATATAATAACATATTAAATACTAGTATTTAATATGTTAACAATGTATGATATAATAATAAAATAAATTCTAGCATATAGAAATTATGAACAAAACAATAAATAGCTAGAAATAGAGTTTAAAAATTCTTCTCTGAAAAACAAGATGGAGAGGTGGATTAAAATGAGGCTCAATCAATGTAAATGACCTTCTCCACTTGTAAAACAATCTTCACAAACCAAACAAACTTTAAACCCAACTAAAACCCTTGTTAAAACTCCTTTAAACTTATTTAAAACTTTCCATTGGGTTACCTCTGGTAGAAGGGGTTTGAGGGGTTTATCCAAAGAATCAGAAATATGATTCTGTACCAAAAATAGCCGTTGGGTGATCGGCGGTCGACCGTGAAAAACTCGCGGTCGACCACGAGCGACAAAAAGGCAAAACTGGGCTCTGGAAAAACATTCGGTCGACCGTGGCGGTCGATCGCGAGAACATCCGGTCGACCATCATGGTCGACCGCGAGCCTCAAAAAAACTTCCTGAGTCTCTGGACTCAGGGGCGGTCGACCGTGGCGGGTGACCGCAAACTGACATATGATGGGGGGGGGGGGGGGGGGGGGAGCCTCAAAAAAACTTCCTGAGTCTCTGGACTCAGGGGCGGTCGACCGTGGCGGTTGACCGCAAAATGACATATGAAATTTCAGTTTTGAAAACTGTTTTTCTGACTTTAAAACTCTATTTAAAATATCAAATAAATTCAGAAAAATATAAAACTTTGGAAAATGATTGTAGACATGATGATACACATGCTAGAAAAACTTGTTTTTCAAAAGGACCTCCCAAATGAAAAATATCATCATTTTGCAAAATAGTCCAAAACATGAAAATGTAAACATAATGAGTTTTGACATTTTAGCTTAACCATGTTTTGAAAAAATACAAAATGATTTTATAGACTTGAAGAAAGATGTAAACTTTCGTTATGAAGTCTATAAACAATGAATATAGTATTTTATCCAAATACACATATAATGTACTAAAATATGATTTCATTGAACTAAATAAAATTGATTTTGATGAAATCATATCTATGCATGTATGTATGAAACAAAAATATGTTTTCTAATTATATTCAATTATTTCATATTAAAACTTGAAAACTCAAAACCATACTTCTAATACTATAATAATGTAAACTAAATATTATAATATTTTATTTATAATATATTTTCTTTAATTGATATATTAATAATATGTTTAATACTAATGTTGTAATGGGTCAAACTAGTGTTGACCAAAAATATTTAACATGGTGTTTTAAAAACGTTTTAAGGGAAAACACAACACCATGATGTTTTTTTACAAAAACGTAACAAAGAAAACACCATGATGTTTTTTTACAAAAACGTAACAAAGAAAATACCGAAAATGTGTTTTAAAATAAGTGTTGTGTTTTTAGTTTGAGGATGATTTAGCGCAGAAAACACCATCTTTTCCAAACGCATTGTATTTTATTTTTGATAAAAACACCATGAAAACAAGAAAAATACAATGGTATTCAAATGAAGCCTAAGATTTTGACACACTCCACAATTTTTTCCACAATCTTAAATCCACACCTACCACTTCAATCCGCGAAAATCAAAATATATAAGATTTTGACATGCAGCGAATTAATTATCATAAGAAATCAAAATAACCTATGAAAATTTTTAATTTCAAAATCTTCAAATTTATTTTTCATGAGCTGGTTACTAAAAGTGAATGTTAATACTCATCATTACCGCATCTATGTCATTAAACAGATTTGATTCCTTATTTTATCCCAACAAAATAAATGCTTTCAGATGGTACTGACCTGATACAATTGCTTTAATGTGCATAAAGTTTCTTAAGCCTCTTGGAGCTTAAAATCTGAAAGGCTGACTGCGCAAGACAAAACTTGGACCCTTGGCTGGCTGCTTGAGGCGGGGTGGCTTCTTTTATGCGATGCAGTACGTTGTTTGGCTATCAGAGCATCTCCAATCATGCCCTCCAAATTTCACCCTCCAAATTAGAATATTCTAGGAATATTCTAATTTGGAGGGTGGAATTTGGAGAGTTGCTCCAACCCACACTCTCCAAATGTTTTCCTTCTTATTTATTTTTTGTCAAAAAAGTCATATAAATTAATAATGTTGGATATAGTTTACATTAATAATTTTATTTTTAATAATTTATTTAGAAAAAAAATTATAACATTATAAAGTTGTCGATGAAAGCTTTAAAATGAACTCAATATTAATAATGCAATACAACATATTAAAAAAATAAAATCTGAAATAACAGGGACAAAGCATACATCGATAGAACAAGAAAGAAAATATTATAATTTAAATATTGTAATTTATGCTTGTATTTTCTTATGGGGCAAGTTAAATAGATCCCCGTATTTAAAATTTTATGTCTGCTATTTATTTATTTAATTTAAACATTAATAATTTTATAATAATACTAAAATAAATTAATCTTAATTTCATTTTAAAGATCTCAACGAGAACTTTCCAAATATATAATGATTTTAAATATTAGATTAATAATTTTTAACTATATTTATTTGAAATTAAATATCTAATTTAAATTACTAAGAATGATGGCAAAGTGGTAATTTTTAAGAAATTAAATAGTTAAAAGTGGCAAAGTTGTAATTAATAAAATATGAATAGTATTTTGGAGAGAGACTCCAAATTTTCTATTCACCCTCCAAATTTGGAGGGTGAAATTAGGAGATCACCAAATTTGGAGAGTCGCTCGAGAGGTTCCACTCTCCAAATTTAAAGATTTTGTCATTTTCGAGGCCGGTTGGAGATGGCCTCATGCCTATGTTCTTGCTCTCTTCTTTCCTGGTTTGAACAGATAACTATATTAATTATTATATGATTGTGGAGCTTTGAAAAACAAGAATAATACTGAAAATGTGATGGTTATTTGGGTATTTTACTACCTCTTGAACGTATGAGAACAATCCACATGTGATGGTTATTTGTTTTAATTACTAGAAGAAACGAAAAATAATACTAAAAATGTAATTCTATTTATTTTCAAATATGTTCTCTAGTGTGAAACTTATGTTAAACCAACAATTCATATTTTCGTTTGTGTATAAACAATCCATCTAATACATATCCAACACTCTCACTAAATAACAACGACAAAACCTTTATCTTAAATTTCCAAGGCCGCTTATATGTCCTACTTTTGGAGTCAGTCCTATTGAGGGTTATCTCCTCCATTAACATGATCATATTATATCATTCTAAAACATTTTCATGCCAAGTTCTTCCTCAAACCTAGATCTATTCCTCTTTTCTACAATTAATTTTTATCACTTTTCTTAATTGGTGCACAGACATATTACTTAACCATCTCAGATAATTCTCTCAATTGATCATAAATAGAACTTCTAACTCCCTATGAATGCGTTCAATTGATCATAAATAAAACTTCTAACTCCCTATGAATGAATGCGAAACTTCTAACTCCCTATGAATGAATGCGTTCATTTCTTATTCTCTCTCTTACGCCTCGTCTAGTATGGGGGATTCAGTTCAAGTGAGAATGGAATGAAATGGGATAAGTGTGAGAATGAGATGCTAATTTTCATTTTTCATATTTAGTTTGCATGCGATTAGAGATGAAGCAAGAGCCACAATCTTTTTTATTTTTAGTTTGAGTAACAAATATGCAAACAAGTCTATTTGAGTTCACATTCCCTACCAACTTATTGACACACCAACTTATTGCGAGTGTCGATTCTCACCAAGGGCCCGTTTGGATTGATTTTTTGGAGCTGTAAAATGGGAGAAAACTGCCAAAAAGCTGACATTTTTACAGCTTCCCCCCTACTTTCTCTCTCCAAAAACAGGAACCAAACGCTGAATGAGAAGTAAGAATTGATTCCTATTTTTTTAAGCTTCCAATTAAAAAGGAGCATTTACCCTCATCTTAAATCATGAAATCAGTATGATGCTTCTGTTGCAAATATCAAAGCACACAATTAGAATAAGCATATGCAGATGGGCATAAAGAGACCAGATCCATGAATTTAACTGCAAAGAATGAGGATCTCCGAAGTTGGATGAACCCAGCTGCTCTATTCACGGAACTGCCAGACTTCGAAATCTAACAAAACAAACTACATCAAATGGTCCGGATTACATAGGTTTCAATGTCAAGCCTATATGCAATTCCAACATCATTTTTATAAATTTAATGGTAAAAAACCATGGTTCCATCCATTTTGGCACGGAGGAAAGGCCTCAACTACATCAGTAGAACATCGCAAGACAGATTTAGGGGGAAACCATCATCCAAGGATACCAATCCATCCAACACAAAACAGAGAGGAAATTGATCATTGACTTCTTTCTACTGCTTTCTTTGGCTGCAAAAGAGAAGCAAGAGGCAGTTAAAAATCAAAACAAAAGGAGAAACCAATCAAAAAGATCCACATTCCTCTAAAATGTCACATAATCAGTTGAAAAAACACAGAAAAGTCGGGCATGAAATCTCAAGTTTCAACATGCAAAGCCTTCAGCGAAAAAAAAAGAAAAAGAAAAAAAAAGGTTTCAAGATTTTGAGTCGGGGAACTACATTCTCAGTACATGCTGCAGCATGCAAGAGCACACCAGATTTTAAGCTAAACTGAGAATAATTAACATGCATTGTAAAATCAAAAAACAATCATTAGTATTTGCATGCACTCAAGTTACAAATTTCATAAAATATAGCTACTACATGGAAGTGCTCTAATTTTGGATCTCTATCTGAACGTGAAAATGGATTATGGCACAAATTTGTAGCATGTACATCAAAGAAAGCTCAGGAGTTGCCAAGTCGGGGGAAAACTGACCAAAACTAACCCCAAATGGAATTTTACTTTAGCATAAAAGGTCGAAGCGTGGAGCTGCTTGAATTTGGTTTTCAGGACAAGCCAAGATGAGTAGAGGACTAGGAAGCATGGATGAGAATCCTAAGAAAGGTCAAGATAGCCCCTGCCAATGGTTTATGGCCTTTAATGGATAACATTGATTACCAAAAAGAACAGTTCTAACGGGGTTTGAAGATCATCTTCAACTTTTATGACTCTAGCCCTTCCCTATTTCATAAAATAATAGCTCATAGCCTTTTTCTGATACAAAAGGCCAATCTGAAAATTCCCGACTTCTAAGGTTCCAACTTTCGAGCAGAGTAATAAAATTAATATGAAATCCAGCCTGCTCAAATAAAACAGTCAATAATGCCTTTTTTCCAAGCAAATCTTGGTGATTTCTGAACTAACTAAGAATCCATTGAGTAGCTCCAGTCTGGTAGCAACAGCCATGACTCTTATGACTCTCAAGTACCAATTCTCAACTCTTCAAATTGGTCAATGAGATTTGCCACCATCACATCTGTCCCATTACAGATACATTCTATTCAGCCAGTAAGTTACTTAACACAGTAGTTCAAAGACTTCTGGTCTTCGGTTTCTAGGAACTACAGTACAATAACTTTGATCCTTGAGTACTTTACTGTAAATGCTGATTTTGGCTGAAAGTCTGCCTAAAAAAAAGTTCATGGCATCAAAACCTGTAAAATGCTTTCTTTTAATACACTTTTAATACTTTAACCATAAGCATGTGATGATGATTAAATCTAGTGCATGGATGGTTGAAATAAATTGACATTCAAGGGGATAAGAGCAAAAGCCCTAACAGCTGACAGTCTGATGAAGTTGCTAGATTACGATTTACATTAAGGATTGTCATTTGCTTGATATGATGCTTATTCTCGCTTCATAATAAGCTGAAGACTCAAGAATAATGAGGACAACAAAAGAATAGAGAAGATAGCAAGGTCTGAAAAGCCGCGAAGCATCCATATAGATTATGAATAATCAATGCATGACATGATCAATTGTCCTTGAAAATGATAATGGCGTTAGAAAATAATATGATGCCAATTATAAACAAGAAAGAAAATGGTTAAAACACTTATAAAATGAATCAAAATGCAAGAATTAATAATAAAAAGGGAACAGATAATAGATCTGTATCCTAAGAAAAGACACCATTTTGTAATGGAGTTTATAATATCAGACTAAGAAGTTCTCTTTCATTGCAATTAAAAAGTAAAAGGTGCTTATGCATATGAGCATATCTAATTTGCAGTAGCTCCACACTTTCAACTGTTAAGATTTAAAATTTTCAGATACAACTTGTACATATCCAATTCGTATATACCCAATAAACGTGTAAGATACTACTTTACAGCAATGGTGTCATTGAAGCACCAGCAAATTGAAACTCTATAAATGCGACGCTAAACACATCAAGCAAAAGTAGAAATACATTCATTTATTACAGTTGTCAGGAGGCACTGCAGCTTTTGAAGTTGGTCTACTATAAGTAGGTTAGGGGCCAAATTATCAGACTAGATATGCTAGTGACTTACCTATGAAATAAGGGTATTGATTTCTGTTCCCTTACTTGACATATTCTAAGTCAGGGTTGAGATACAGAAACTTGGTCCACCTGAAAAAAGAAAAAACACAAGCCTATGGCATGCATACAGGGTTTAGACACATCAGGTAAGGTTTATTGACTTATAGAGAGGAAGGAATTAGATTGCTATACTTCTTCAACATCCTTTTAAGAACCCAAAAACAGTTTCCTCTACTTTAACAGTATAATCTTTTATCTAGATTGCCAATTTTGTAAAGCACCTCTATGTCGAATCTTTTTATCTGTCAATTGAAAATAGTTAGCTATACAGGACTAAATATTGCAAGTTTTCTTTTAAGATAACCAGCCATGTATAGTGAGAAAAGAATCATGGAGTAGCAATATCTAATGAATGACCATTGACCAGTAATTAATAAGTGGTCTGCCTCAAGGCAGTTAAGCTCTTCATAGTACAACAGAATGAAGACTTCCTTGGATAATGAAGTGTTGTGTCAGAGATTTATTTTTTATATTACATGACCCAGTGTAAGACACATGCTACACATCACAAACAATTGCACACAATTAGTGACATGTCATTGTTGTTTTCCATGCTCGTGGTGTGTGTCATTCACGCCTTAATCTGTGCTTCTTACCCTAAAGGCCGGCCAAACAAATCTATTTGGGCATTAACCAAGGATTAGAAAGTGAGCATATACCCCTAAACCTCACATCAGAGTACAAGAACAGATCAAAGTTGTGCCTCAACAACCAAGGAAAAGGTATTAGATAGAGCATCTTAGCATGATTTATCCCAATATAGGCTTTATTTTGTGATTTCTTAAGAAAGCAGCACTTCTGTGTGTAAAATAATTTTGTGAACTATATATTGCTTGTAATACTCCTTTTGATGTCCAAATAACATTCTTATCACAAATTTCAACCAATTTTTTATTTTTATTTTTTTACTAACAGTAATTTGATATAATATGAGGGTCTGACTGCATGAGATATGACCTCGACTATGAGGGTGTTTGAGGCGGCTTATTTTTTGGTCAAACTAGCTTTTAAGCTAACTTTTTCATTTTGACATCTTTGGTAAAATACGGAATAGGCTAGCTTATAAGCCACACTTTAAAAAACTGGTATACCCCGACTTTTGAAACACTAATTTATAAGCTAGGTTTGACCAAACAAATTACTGCACCATCCAAATAATTTTTATAATATTTTTATCGTATTAGTCAAAAGCCAGTAAAAGCTAGCACAACTCATAAGCTTCGAAAGATGAGCCTTCCTTATATCGTTCCGAGTTGCCTACGCTGATTTTCAACTTTCTGCAGCATTCTTTGGATGACTTTAAAAGCTTATACTTCCAGTAATGTAAATTGGTAATAGACTATTGTCGAAGCATAAGAAGAGAAATTAGTGATTTAATTGGCTCTCCCTTCTTCTTGTTTAGTTAATAACTCAATGATATAAAATCAATCCCACAGCCGATATGGGACTAAACTCGTACCTAATAAATAGACTAAGCCTATCATAACAACTATTAACATGTTCTGGCAAGCGACATATCATAAGATAAATCTCCATTACCCCCGAGAATCTTCACAACACCAAGTCTTGGCATGCTTAATTTAAAATTGTGCAGATGTCCAGGGCACCAAGGTCTCACCTTCTGTTGTGAGATCCTAATATGCCATATTCATCAAGACCCCAAAATTCTTAATTGTTTACTGCATATAGCCTGGCCCGTCTGCTTGATGACTTGCTGCTTAATAGATACCTTGGGAATAAGGAGTTTATCAACTAACAGTGGTGTTTTTTCTTGCACCAGAGCAACTTTATACTAGAATAAGATGATATGGCCTGTCAAAATGTCCTTTATAGTTAACTCTATTTTTGACAGATCAATTTGCTTATAGTAGATATTTTGTTATGGGAAAGAAAAGAATTTTCAAAGTATTATTTATTCCTTTACTTGCATAACCATTTCTTCTATCTTCTACTATGTTCAATTCTTTCTTCAGCTTTCTTAAGAAAATGAATGTACCTTATTGCTACAGAATGCATATAAATTCCTAAACCTAATCCCGACTCCTTTAAACATAAAGACTACATTTCTTAGAGGAAAAAAAAACCCCATTGAATATCATCCTTTTTGTACATGTAACTAAAAGTTCATGGTAATTTTTGAAAACCTCGATAGATTTCTGAAAAAGGCGACGTAAATTTGAGGTAGCTGAATGAACAAAAACGTTTATGGTTATTTTTCTGCAAACAAACCCCAGTTCCATACCCTTGACACTTGAATTTCTCATAATTATAGGTGATCACTCTCATGCGTTCTAGATGTTTGACAAAATGCCTAAACCATAATAATAATAATAATAATAATAATAAGATACAATACTGAGAAAAAGGTGTCACCTTTGTGCCAGGGAAGCTCATACTAAGCTCCTCCTCGGGAATGAGAACAGGCCACTTCTCCCCTGCCTCGCGAAACATCTGCTCGGTCTCGAGCATCCGCCCGCGCTCCAGGATCCGGCTCTCGGATGGATTGGGCAGGGTGGCCGCCGCCGTCGGCATGACGTCGACGACGCCGTTGAGTAGGTGACGGTTATCTGAGGAGGCTGTCGGCGGACGTGACCGGTGACGTCGAGCTGGCACGCGGGGTTCGATTCCTTGCCCTTTCCGGGCTGTGCACTGCCCTGGCTAGAACTCCATGCAAGATTCGCCGTTGCGACGGTCCTAGTGGGCATTGACATTCGATCGGACGCTTGGACAGGAATTTCAAACATTTTTAAATTCTAGATTTATTTTTGGTACCCTGATCTTTTGCCCCGCCCCCCCAAACCGAAACCCTAACGTCTACCCTAGAGGGGAGAGGAGAGCTGAAGAGGAGAGGAGGGTTTCGAGATGAGATTGGAGATGAATCGTGTTTGTTTCAATTATAATTTTTTTTAAGAAACACGGTCCATGTGTTTTGTAATCAATGTGTTTTTGTATTGTGTGTTTTTTTATAAAAAAACATCATGCACGGTGTTTCTTTTTCAATGGTTTTGTAAATATCATTTTGGATCAAACTAGTTGACCTTTAATATAGTGTGGCAGTCGGCGGCGGCGGCGACGGCGCAGTCTGGTCTGGCGACGTGGCCGGCGGCCGACCTGATCGGCGGCGGGCGAACACGACGGTCGGCTACCGGGGGTGGTGACGGGTGTGCGGAGTCGCAGCGACCGGCGGCGGTGGTCGGCCTTACGGGCGGTGCGACGACGGCGCGGGTGACCAACGGGCGGCGGTTCCGTGGGGCGTTGGTTGGCGGCGGCGAGTGAGGGTGCTGTGAGGCGCGGCTGTACGGGGTCGGTGACTGGCCAGGCCAGGGAGCGGGACACGGTGGCGGGCGACGAGGCGGCAACGCACTCAGGGCTGTGGCGATCGCAGCGGGCGCGCGACGGCCCGCGACGGGCTAGTGAGTGCTCGCGGAGGTGGCGCGGCCGGCCGAGGCGGCGGCGATGGCCAGCCAGCGGCGCGCGGGGGTGTCGCGGCGGGCGGAGTGAGCTGCGGTGGATTAGGTCATGTTGGCAGTCGGCGGCGGCGGCGACGGCGCGTTGGTCGGCGACGTGGCCGGCCGGCCGACCGACGGCGGGGGCGAACACGCGGTCGGCTACGGGGGTGGGACGGGGTGTGCGGGTCGGCAGCGACGGCGGCGGTGGTCGGTTACGGGCGGGCGACGACGGGCGAGGTGTTGACAACGGCGGCTGGTTCGGTGGGGCGGTTGTTGGCGCGGCGAGTGACGGTGGCTGTGAGGCGCGGTGTACGGCGGGGTGACGGCCAGGCACGGGGAGCGGGCGACTACGGTGGCGGCGACGAGGGCGGCACACGACCTCGGCTGTGGCCGATCGCAGCGGGCGCGCCGACGGCCCGACGACGGGGCAGGAGTGCTGACGCGGAACGGTGGCCGGCCGGCCGAGGCGGCGGCGATGGCCAGCAGCGGCGCGGGGGTGGGGATCGTCGCGGCGGGCGAGTGAGCTGCGGTGGATTAGGTCATGTAAAAAACGGAATCTTAAAACACATTTTTGGTGTTTTGAGAAAAGTATTTAATTTTTAGATTTTATAAAAGGACAAGTCAAAAAAACGTCCCGGTTGCCAAACATGTTTTTTTGTTTTTGTTGAAAAAAAACAGAAACGGCAAAAACGCCATGGTTGCCAAACTCTCCCCGTTTTTGAGTTTATTGATTCCATAACTTTTGTTTGATTCAAAATAAATTGTGGGATATTAAATACCTAAGTAATAAAAAAACTAATATATTATAGAATTTATGAAATCCCCTCTATAAGAGAGGACTTAGGCTAGATTTCAAATTCTAAAATTTGTAATGCTACAATTTGAGTTTGAAACAAACAAAATATAAACTATAGGATTACATATCCCAAAATATTGATGAAACAAATAATATTTTAGAAATTTCAACGCATGTTAAAGAACCTATGGATTTCAAATCCCATGGTAAAATCCATATCCTAAAATTATAGGATTTGAAACAAACACCCCATTACATGTTTCATATTTATAACTTAGGCACTCTAATCAATAAAATTGAGGACAAATTTTCGTTTTAGACATCTTTAGAAACATATTTTCAAAAATCGACCTCTTTTGAAAATATTTGTCAATTTTAACCCAGTTTTAGCTAGTTGGATGAAACTGGGTCGAAATTGGCGAAAAAAGTTTAAAAACTTCACGGGATTTAATATCCCATGAAGTTTAAGCCACTTATTAACAAGGTCGTTAAGAGGGCCAAATCTTCACGGGATTTGAAATCCCGTGAAGCTTAAACTTCACGGGATTTCAAACCTCGTGAAGTTGCAAACGCAACCTCCAGAGAGTTTGACCCTCCTCTTTTCAACGCTCAATCTCTCCCTCCCTCTTCTTTGTCTTCTTCTTCTTCCTCTAAAATTCAAAGAAAAATAAAAACATGAAAATAATGGGATCTTTCCCCTCTCTAACCCCAACCCAAATTGACCCAAACAAGTTCTCCTAGCTCTTCAAATTGCAGTAGCAGATCCTCAACCATTTCTTCAACAACCTTGACCTGGGCTAGGCCTAGTCCTTCGCCCAGTCTCTCCTCTCCGTCTTCCCCTCCGTCGTCTTCTTCACCGGCATCAGCAAGTCCGCTTCGTCGCCCTCAAGCTCTCCTAAACCCTTGCCTCCCTCGGTCTCTCCCGCTCCTCCTTCCTCCCCTCCCGTCGACACCCTCCATGGCGACATAGGCACCCTTTTCCTAGGCGACCTCATCGTCCTCATCTCCAAGTCTGGCTCCTCCGATGAGCTCGTCACCCTCGTGCCCTACGCCCGTGCCAAGGGGGGCACGCTGATCTACGTCACCTCCGTGACTAGGAACCCGTGGATTTGGCCTGTAACTTCACGGGATTTAAAATCATGTGAAGTTTAAGCTTCACGGGATTTTAAATCTTGTGAAGATTTGGCCTCCTTAATGACCTTGTTAATAAATGCCTTAAACTTCACGGGATTTTACATCTTGTAAAGTTTTTGAACATTTTCGCCAAATTCGACCCAGTTTTAGGTCAAAATTAGTTTCTAAATTGGCGAATATTTTCAAAAGAGGTCGTTTTTTAAAAATATGTTTCTAAAGAGGTGTATGTTAGGACTCATGTTTATGAACCTACTCTCTAATATAGTTTTGATGATTTAACAAATAATTTATAACTGTGTGTTTCCAGAATTTTGTGTTTATCATATATCCAGGTCGATGATATCTAAAATGAAGCCAATACAAATCAAGTTACAGATTCAAGAACAAGCTTCATATGCTACTACTTGGGTATAATAGTCTAGGATCTATATTTTGTGTGTTAACTGACCTACGTCTTCGCTCCTCACTCTCGAGGAGAATCTCCACTATGTTAACCGATTTTCAACGTTCACCAAAAACATTCACAACTCACACTAAACAATCGGTTTTCAACACTCACTGATAAACGTTTACAACACTCACAATGTAATCTCACAATAGACCCTCTAAGTGTTGGCCTAGCCCACGTGCCTTCCTCAAGTGCTTAGATTTACAACCTCTCCCTAGGCTTTACTTCCGACTCCACTCCTCTTGGAATCGACCCCGTCTCTCATCACACATTCCTCTCAGTGTACTTGTGTATTACAATGTGATCTCACAAATCAAGCACAAATAAAAGTGTTTGTTCTCTGAACAAGATGAGAGCTCAATTAAGTTTTAAATCATCATTAATATCGGATTAGATTAGTATATACCCTATTCACCCCCTCCTCTAGGGTAATTTTAGTGTAAAACAAAAATTTGTCCTAAAATTGAATGTACAACCCCAATTCTTAAGTTATTTTAAAATTAATCCCTCAAATCATTGTAAATACTATTAGGTTTACTTCCCCCTAATCGTTACTTCTTCTTTATAGGAAAGACTATTTTTCTAATTATACATTAAGAATCATGGCGGGGGCCAATAGAAATCTCAACATCACTCTCTCATCTCAACCTTTTACTTCTATATGAAGTTAGGATTCCAAGGTGAAGCATACAGAACAACCTCTCAATTTTCTAATTTCCCTTTTCGAGAGAGAGAGATACCTCATGCTTACTTGACAACCTAAATGGCAATCCTCATAAATATTTTTTAAAGCTTCTCACAATAATTGAATAATCACCATTTGTGTCTAGATGATTACTTGAGCTCTATTCGTGGACTTAATGTTGACCTCCCTAATTTCACTTTGATATTTTTTGTTAATGTGTAATGATATGATACATATTATTTTTTTCAATTCACGATGTATGTTGTATGCTTGTCCACATGGGTCGGCCCGGCCTGAGTTCTCAAGTTCAGGCCAGGCAAAAATGCCTACCTTGGACCTAGAGGGCCTGGGCCAAATAGGGCTAGGCACAAAGCCGACCCGGATCCCCCCCCCCAAAAAAAAAAAACTAAAAATTAGATTTTAAAAAAATAAATTTCATGAGTAATTAAAATATGTGAATTTTTGACAAAAAATTAATATTATTATTAGTCACTTATGATTATACAATTTGTAAAGATCATAGAAATTAAAATGATAAAAAAGTAAATTCATTATTATTAATCATTAATAATGTTATACACCATACAAAATACTAAATATTAATCTCCACATAGCAATCGCCACGTGCCTTACACTGTCCCTAATACACTAAATAATTCAAGACAAAAGATAATTTCCACCCAACTCAGCCTACTGTTCAGCCGACATATCGCATATCCGAATCAAAAGGTGGTACTGCTCGACCAATCCTTTGATTGACTCCACAAACCACCCAATTCGGCCCACTATTCAGCTAACATATCGCATATCCGAATCAAAAGGCGGTACTTGTCGTCCAACCTGGTCAGTCGCTCTTGCGAATAACCCTTACTTCTCCCATTGTATCAACCATCAATATGTATAGTTGACCATTAGTTGGATAACTAAAAGAGCTAGTCAATAGTTTTCTCGAACCTTGTGCTGACAGCCGCGTGTTCTTGATAGCAGCTACTCTGACAAAG